AAAATTTGAACTTGCAATAACATTTTTGCTATTAAAAATTTCAGCTTGATTTCAGCAAGAAGCATTCACACTGGCATTCCCACAAGAAATGCAATTTCTCTAGTGTAAATTAGATGCATATAAATTAGAAACTAGAGGTGAAATTACTGAATAAAAAACTAGTTTTTTATTCATTATAGTATTTAACACACTGGCACTAAAAACTGACGCTGACTTGTTCAACATTTCAGAGTAAGTTGACTGTAAAAACGAAGTAAATGCAGTTGGTAGATGAAACGTTTCTGCTTTAAGTACTTGAGTTGCTCAAGTATTTCTTGTTGTATCATATTTTAATAATTTTAAAAAATGTTTGAAATTTTTTGTAGCTACGTTTGTGAAAATCCCTTTTACAGGAAACCACCAAAGCAGAAAAAACACCTCTACATCTGATCTAAGAAATTAGATTTCTTTGTTGTGTCATTAAAGGGACGTGTGTTTGATCCTTAAATGTGTTTAGAGCACTTAGTTTGATCTAAACAGTGTCCGTGAGCAGAAAAGAGTAAAAAAAAAGACTTGGCTGTGTTTTGTGGGTCTTAAGGTGGAGCGGGTTCCTGCTGTGTGCTGTGGCCATGCTGCTGGTCATATTCCCCATGTTCACCTTCCCCAAGAAGCTTCCTCCTCGACACAAGAAGAAGAGGAGGAAAAAGCTGAGTCTGGACGACCTGTCCAGTGATGACGACGTCCTGAAGGAGAAGAGCAACAACAAATCCCAGACGGTCACCTCAGCCATGGGTTTTGGCAAAGATATTAAAGGTACCACAACAAAGCAGCTCCCCTCTTTATGGTTCTGATTTAACTAATAATAATCTTGTTTTGTTTAATCTAGCAGGGATTAAACGTGGTGGAATTGAACAGACTAAAAAAGATAGCCCAGATTTGAGCTGTTCTGAAACATTTTTTTTGTCAGCAGTTGAATTATTTAGTTGTCAGTGCAGCCAGCTGACATCAGAAAACTGTTTGGTTTGAGGTTTTTGCTTAAAAAGGACAAACAGAACATATCAGAGCTTGAAGGACATTTTCTTTTATTATCTGACATTTTGTTTTGTAACCATGAACAATGAACGATAAAACTAACAACAGATTGATGTAAGACAGACTGGTTGTTTTGTGTAATTTTCTGTTGGAGTACCAGTAATGACAAACATAATCAGCTTGATAGATGTGCAAATTTACAAAAAACCTATTGAGCAATTAATTTTCTTAAACTGGTTTCAATAATAAAACAGTGGAAACGTTTAAAGTAAATTCTAGTTTTGGGAAATGAAACCAGCTTTCAATGAGAAATCTAACCATCGTAATTGTCTTTTCTCTGTCACGGTGGCAGTAAAACAAAAATGAAGCTCTTTATTGTCTTTCAGACCTGCCCAAAGCGGCAGTGAGGATCCTCAGCAACGTGACTTTCCTGTTTGTCAGCCTCTCCTACACCGCAGAGAGCGCCATCGTCACCGCTTTCATCACTTTCATCCCCAAGTTTATTGAATCCCAGTTTGGGATCCCAGCTTCCAACGCCAGCATCTACACCGGTGAGCTCATTTTCCTCTGAAACCCCTCTGATGTCCTTTATGTCTTACAAGACATGTTTGGAGCCTCGTTTGAACAGAAGCAGGCTGCAGACGGAGCAGAATATTCAAACAAAACCTTGGACAGTGGTGGGCACCAGCCCGCTAAAGCACAAATCTTCTAATTGCAGACCTACCGCTAATAACTAATTATCTACCAGTCATCATTATATTGAACAGCAGAAGGTAATGGCTGTCAATGAATCACAACACACGTGATCTATACAACAACACCCCTCCCAGATAAACACACTTATTGTGAAGGTATACATCCTGCTGACTGTTGCTTTGGGTCACGGTTCTCATTTCCCACAATGCTTTGTGTCTGCT